AGCCTTCGTGGATCCTCGAGAATAAATATATCTGAGCCTAGTCCCATACGAGTGCTTGCGGTCCCCCTCACTTGTAATTTTCTTTTGTTTTATCGAAGTTTTGGGACGGAGCACTCGTGTTACTTTTCTTTTCTTTCGGGATTTCCCCAGGAGTTTTGAGGACTTTCTTTTACTTGAGTCTCTTTCGTTGATTTTCTCGAGTTCCTCCGCTTTTCTTCGGGTTTCCTGGACGACGTTTCTTTCGGGATTTACTTTTTGAGATGCATTTAGGTTTGCTATGTTTAAGGGACAGCGGATCTCACAGGCATACAGGTTTGCTTTACATTTTACAGTACTTAATTTTCCTGTTTCAACCTGCTACTGCTCTTCTTATACTGCATGTTACACTTGTCATGTTTCTACCTATTGTTCTCCCTGTATAGCATGTTACACTTGTCTTGTTTCTACCTGCTACTGTCTTTCATGTATAGCTTGTTGTACTGCTCCTGTTTTCTGCCTACTACTGTTTCACTTGCATGCTACTGTTCATTTCTGTATTGCACACTTTACATTTTATAACTTTAAACATGTTTACCCTTTTTACATAGGATGTTTAGAGGACTACAATCATAGGGCCGTTTGATTTAACACTATAACTGGACACCCTAGAAAACTTAAACTCGTCATGGTAAGGCGCTTGGAGCTAGCGCAGTGGGCAGCACGGCCATCTTCAACAGCAGAACACGTCTTCCTCAGCAAAACCTTTTCTTTTTCCTAGAAATTAAACAACAATCCATAGGTTTTCGAGGTTGTTAATCCATAGGTTTTTGAGGTTGTTTGCGTAGCGCAACAACATAAATCCTCCACTTTTTTCTTTAGGCATTCGTATAGCTCTGCCGTACGATTTAAGCCCTAAACTCGTTCTAGGTTCCGAGGTTGTCGTCCGATACGACGTAAACCCTCATATCTTCTAGGCAATTTGAGTGACCCTGTTACGCAAATATAAGCCCTGATTAAATAAAATTGGCAGGATGAAACACTTTAATAATTTCTTTTCAAAATTGGAGCCAAACCATAGGATAGACTGGGAAGTCACTGAGGTTCTCAGATTCTGTGGCCTCCCCTAGTTCCTCTTCATTTGAATTCCTCAACAATGTTCCAGATTTGAGCTTTTCCCCCTTTGCACCTCTTTGTCCGATTTCGTTGTAAA